TCACCATTGTTGTCGTATTGCATTATGAAGCAGTTCATCGGATAAATAAATTCATTCTGTGATTTCAACTAGCTACCAAGTGGCTTCCAAGAACATGGTCTATAGTCTCGACTATGTAATAGACTCTATACTGGACTCGACTACAGACTAGAGGTTACGTTAGATTATACTAGATGTATACTGGACTATAGACAAGACTATATACTATTCAGTAGACTAGATTTCGGACTGGGCCTTACACTAGACTATAAAGAAGACTTTAGACTACTGTATAGACTGGATTGGACCATAGACTACACTATATACTGCACTAGACTAGACATTATACTCTACTAGATAATAGTTAAACTATAGAATGGACTAGACTATAAATTAGAATTTGGATTAATCTATAGACTACAATATAGACTAGTCTATAGGCTGGACTATGGTCTAAACCTTTGAATAGACCATATACTAAAGACTAGACTATATGATACTTGGCTATAGATTAGTCTATATACTTGGCTAGACTATACTATACTATAGACTAGATTAGCCCATAAACTATGCTAAGGATTATACTAAACTAGATAATATACTGGACTAGACTGCACACTACTATAGCCTAGCCTATATAGAGTAGACTAGACTATAGATATTAGACTAAACTACATATTGACTACAGTCTAGCATATTGCCTAAACCATATACAATACTATAGACTAGTCTATACACTGAACTAGACCCTAGACTAGATTATAGATTGTGCTATATACTATGATATAGATAAAACTAGACAATGAATTATACTATAGAATATAATATAAACTGAACTAGACCATTTACTAGATTATAGACTGTGCTAGACTATGAATTATATAATTGAATATACTATAGACTAGAATATTAATTTTTTTTTTTCAATTTAGAATAAAGAACAATTTGAACAATTTATGTCGATTAATCGAATAATATTTGATGGTTGCTTTTTACGAATTTGTTATTAAAGTATTGAATAAAGAATTACATTAATATATTGTATATCTGGGAAACCGTTAGAGTTAGAATCCCTAAACTTGCACAGATAACATAGAAAACTATGTGTACAATTTGGGGGAAGTTAAACTATTTCTAGGGGCAATGTTGTATGAATAACTTTGACATCCAGATAAACATTTTGGTAATAAATTTGGTGATTAGCAATAGGGGCACCTCCCATATGAATTAAATATAAAAATTCTTATATCTGAAAAATTATTAGAGATAGAAATCTAAAATTTTGCTTGAGCAAATTTATCTATTTATATATACACAATTTTAACGTACTGACTGACCGATTCATCATCACACAGTCTAAACGGTTGAAGCTCAAGAGTTGAATTTGGACAGCAGATTGGTCTCCCACCAAATAGATAGACTAAAAGAGGATTTTTGGAAATTCGATTGTTTAGGGGGTAAAAACGTGTTAATTCGGTAGCCTTATATCTCATCCCATCATCTTTTAAACCAGTGAAAACTCAACAAATATTTCTGACTCTCTTAACTTATCGAAAAAATTATAAAAATATAAATTTAGTACTTTTTGAATATTTGGACGATTAAGGGGTGAAAATTGTATATATTTTTGAAACATTTTACATAAAAGATTATTTTCACTTGTGCATATGAATATTTTATGATGGGCTCCCACTCCGATATTGCAACTTTTTGGAATAAAATATCAATTACTTCAATAGGTAGAAAATGTACCAAAAGGGGGAAAACGGGAATTTTATTCAAAATCATTGAGCCAATTTTAATAAAATTTGAGAATGGTGTGTTACTTGGAACTCCGGTACAAAGGACTATTTTTTTTAATTTTTCGTTTTTTAGTTGGTACTTTTTGAGTTTTTTTCAACATTGATCCTAGAAACATAAAATTAAGCATGTAGAGCCCGGAGTTAATGATAATCTATAAAAGGAAAATTTTTGATAATTTTTCTTTCTTCAAAAGGTAATTGCTGAGTTTTCTATAATAATGAACCTAGGAGCATACTTTTTGAGTATTTCACAATATTTAACCTAGAAAGGTGAATTAATTTACCGGAGTAAATAAAAACCTATAAAAGGAGACTTTTTCTTACTTCAAAAGATACTTTTTGTGTTTTCTATAATATTGAACCCAGAAACATAAAACTGAGCGTTCTGGGAATTGAGTGAATGAAAATCTACAATGGAGAATTACTTGTACTTATTCGTTTTTAACTTTTACTTTTTGAATTTTCTATAATATTGAACTTAGGAACATGAAATTAAATAAAAGAGGTCTTTTGTTACTTTTTTGAGTTTTCTAAAATATTGAATATATATACACTGATAATCCATACCTACGAAATATATTAGTATAATGCAAAATAATTTTAGAAAAAAATGCGTTTATTTTACGATTTTTTATATTACATAAATATGTTAGTTCATTTAAAAAATGTTATTGCGAATTAAAAAAAAAACAAATTGTTTTATATTTAACTGATACTTCAAAGATTTAATTATTTACTGATATTATTTAAACCTCTTATATTTTAAAACACTTTGAATACAATTTTCAAAATATTATATATACATACTTTTAGTTTAAAATAAATCAACATTTTTATTATCAAATGTTCGCCTTCTAAAATTTATGAAATAAGGTATATAATTTCATGTCAATTTAAAATTACGTTTAATTTAACTCGCTAAAATTACGAAAATAACAACAAAAATCGTAACAAAAAAATTTTATTTTGTAAAATCTAAGAAAATTCTTGTATATTACTAAATAATTTTGTTACGAAAAAAATTCGTTACTGGCGTTAAATATTACATGCCTTAACGAAATTATTTTTTGTAAAATAAAACAAAGTTTTTTAATATATACGAAAAAAAAAATATTACGACAGGTTTTCGTACTTTCGTAAAATTAGAAACACGATTTCCTCATTTGGTTTTGTATTATTTTTGCTTTTGAGCACATCATGTTCATTAACTCAAATGTACGCAGCTAGAAAAGCAAACAATTGGAGCAAAACTGAAAATTGTCGAGCGATGGTTTCCTGATGGGTTTGCTAATTAGAAAAACATTTTTGAGAAAAATTAAAAGAAGACTTAGGTTTAAGTTTTTGTAGATGCCTATGTGGAATACAGTAGTAATAAAAACAAAAACAAAATTAAAACAAAAAAATTAGTGTCACCGAAAGATACATATTCGGTAGAATTGTATACCGATATCGTTATTAATTCATGAGTTTTTTACGATTAATTGATTTTCGGAAGTGGTATCTTCTGAAACATACACACTGACGGACATTTGAAAACAAACCTTCCAACGAAAAATACTAAAAAAGGACAGATAAGCTGTATTTACTATTTAATAATTTTTTATTGTATTTTTATATGACCTCAACATTGTTTCATAAAATGGTTAATGAATTATTACTTAATTGATCTTACTTTTTTGATCTTACCTTTTGAACAGTTTATTGGAATACGGTAATATTCGTAATTACAATAAATTAAATTAAAATTTTTTCAGGATAACAAATTGTTTATTAAAATATTTCTGTTTCAAGAGTAAATTAATGTTTAAAAAATCAATCATTAAAAAATTAATTCATATTTTAAGAAAACATAAAATTAGAAAGATAAAGCTTTTTGTAAACTAAAGCCTTTCAGACTTGGATTACTATTGTGTATTCTTATTATAAAACAATTAGGGACCGTAACAGTTATGACTTCGGTAAAATACAGTGCCGGCAAAATAATAGAAAACAAATTTTTTCATTAGAAATTCTATTTTCTGCCAAACTATATGGTAGAATTTGATGATCAATATCTCAAATGATAGCTATTTATGTATACTTTCTTTTGCTACTCAGATATTATAGCTTTTTGGACTCGGGAAATTTTTATTTAAATTTAACTCAAATAGGCCTTGGAAAAAATAATAGAAACATGTTATTATAATGCATTTGGTATGGAACAAAATATTTAAAAAATATTTGTTTTTCATTTCTTTTAGGCCCATATATAGATATCGAAAACTTACCAATTTTCAGAGAAAATGTTGGCCAATTTTACACTACGTAACAATTCAAACACTTTAGAACGAATAAAAATGAACTTTATATAATGGCATTTTAATAAAAAGTTTAAAATATGCTAAAATAAGTTAAATTTAATACAAAAAAGGCAAATAAGTATCGAAAATTCTTAACGAATCAAAATGTCATAGGGGACTAAATATTGGAAATTAATATCAATATAGAAACCATTTTTTATATGGTATAAAATCCGACAAACAAAATTTTTTCATTCCTTTTTTATAAAAAAAGGCTTATTATATTAGACTTCTAAAAAATATAATCAAATGAAAACTTTTTCAAATATTTTGGTTTTATATTGATTTTAAATTTTAATATAATAGAATATATCGTTTCTAAGATGATATTAATCCCAAATTCTAAACCATCTATTGCGTTATTATTTGTTTTGAATTTTCGATGCTTATTGGACTTTTTGTATTTAATTTTACTTATTTTAGCATATTTTTGACATTTCATCAAAATACCTTGATGTTTAATTTAATTTTTACCCATTCTAATGTGTTCGAATTGTTAAGTAGTGCAGGTTCCAGATACACAATAAAATGCTCATAAAACCAACTTAAATACGAAAAAATTAAGCAAAAAGTCTATTTAACTTTCAGAAATACATTTCTATTGAAAAAATTTAAAAAGAAATATTTTTTAAATATTTTCTTACATAACCAATTCATTACAATAACTTGTTTCTATTATTATTCCCAACGCCTATTTCAGTTAAATTTTAATTATTTAATTTAATTAAATTTTAAATGTTAATTATTGTATTTAATTGTATAATATAAATATATAAATATTAAATCACGAATTTTGGAATATTTTTGTTGTAGAACAACATTGATTCTTTATTACTCCTCCATACAAACAGGTAATCGGTCAATGATTTTAGTATTTTTGGAACGCTGTATGAAAAAAATGTCTGTAATAAGAAAATATGTTTTTGAAGAAGTTCATATTTTATACAATAAATGTTCATACTTATTTGTATCTCCTCTGATTATCGATCCACGTTTTAATTTGTGCAGGAGTTCTATTTTTTAGGACAGGACATTTGATAATAGCATGAAGACACTCTGTAAGGCTAGGAAGTTTTTCCAAATCTCTCAAACATCCAAAACAGGAATTAATTGCGTCCCTTTCCTCTTGAGACCATCGGGAACGTTTGGTTGTTCCAAAAGGTGATGCTTGAAAATAAAGTTTAATTAATTATTAATGTTATGAATAAATTTTTTCTTAAAATTATATTTTATTATTATTTAATAAAATGTTTATATTGTATCTTAACACAAATTATTTTAGTTAAATTTTATAATTTTAATTCTATAATTTTCTAATTTAATCAATATCTACACTGAAAAAATTCCATGCTTAACATTACGAAAATAAATTTCGTAACAACTTATTAAAAAAATACTTCGTAAATTTCACAATTTTTATTCTAAAATTACAAAAATATTTTCAAACTACAAAAATAATTTCTTCGTAAAATAAACAAATTATTTCTAAAATTATATAAAATAATTTTGCATTATACTAAAATATTTCGTACAATTTCGTATATATAACGAAACAATTTCGTGGTGTAAAACAACGAAGCCTTTCGTACAATGTACGACATTTTTCGTATATATTAGGCATGGATTATTTTCAGTGTACGTAAATACTTACTACTTCTTCTTTTCTTCTTCTTCTTCTTAGGTACTTCTTCTGACATACTACTCTCGTCTGAAGCTTCGGATTTATTAGAATCTATATAACTATTTGAGTTAAATTCAGTTCTTGTCTCAAGCTCCCCCTCCTCGTCAACCATATTTTCAAACACTTCATCACCCTCTTCATTTTCTTCTCCAATGGCGTTCATCAATAACTTAGAAACACATGTTATTTCCGATACTGGAACTGACATTCTATAAAAATTTTTGTGGATATCTTTATGATGTCCCATGAAATTGGCTAATCTGTCTACAGAAGCTTCTTCTACATTTAGCAGGGATGTATGTGTTGCTATATGTTTTCGTAATGTGGTACCTCTTAAACTTTCTGGTATCCTTGCGCCACATTCCATTGAAAATTGTTTTAAAAGTGGACAAGCCCGAAAATATTCCTTGGATAAAGTTGATGTGCTCCTTTTACAAAAAATGTATTCATTGCTAGAAGTTATCCCTGCAGCCTCTCTATGTTTTATTATCTCTTCAATGGCTTGAACACATAGCGGGTTTAACAACACACTCACCGTTCTTCCCAACTTCCCTCTGATGGAAATTCGAACAAATTGTTTAGCAAAATCTAGAGATTCTTCTGATATAGTCTTTAAAATATCTTCTTCTATATTTCCAGTTATACCTTCTTTATTTTTATAATTAGAGAGTGTCAATCGCTCGATTTCACCCGCTCTTCTCCTATTGAAGATTTGAATAAAAATCAGAGTAGATTTAACTAGCTCCATCCACGATTGGTACGAAAATTTTTTTTCCAAAACTTTAATTTCTTCAATTATTTTATTTTTCAAGTATAAATATAATTTCTTTATATCTTCTCTGGAGGGCAAAACAGTTTTTTTATTTCGTTTTTGGTTTGCCTGATCCTCACATGCCTTTTTGTTTATAAGGGTGGGTATTTCTTCCTCCCACAAAAGTAAAAAATCGTCCAAATCCTTTTTTAAATCTTCATCCTGTATTTTTATTAACTCTGTCCTTTGCTTGTATCCACATTTTTTTATTAGTGAGGTTAAGTGCTGTGCTACCGCAGGAGTTTTAAACCACATTAAGCTATTATCCCAATTAGCTACTTTTCGCAAAGCTTTTATACAAGCGTCGAAGAATTGCGGCTTGAAAATTTGCTTTAGTTCATTTATATCAGGGCAAAACTCATTAATGGCTATTTTAAAGCGACCTAATAATCGCAAGTGCGAACGTACCATGTCATGTTGATGAGTTAAAGTATATTTTTCCGCTAATTTATTTCCAAACTTAATTATAAGATCATCATACCGGATGACTCTAGTAATTTTATCATCTCTTAGAATTGGGAAAATTTTGGTTTTTAGTATTTCGTTTGCTCCTTCATGTATATATTGTGTAAGTCTTCTACCAGCAATTAAATTTGTTCGATCATTTTTACTAAAAACTCCACATTTACGTAAATGTAATCTTAAAGTTTTTTTAGAATAAAAACCTTTGCACTTTTTGCAACAAACGTAATCATTTTCTTCGTTATTTACTTTAGACTGCTGCTGCCTGGTACAAATAAGTATACCAGTATTTAGCGATTTTGTTGTGTTATGTAAATAATCCCCATCTTTTCGCAATTGATCTATTAACTTCACGCGCTCTCTGTTTTTTTTTGGTAAATGTAAAATCGCCTTTACTTGTTTTTCTGACTTATGTTTATGTATAAGATGCCTTGCTAATTTTGTTTGTAATGTCTTACAAAAGATACAAAAATGTTTTTTAGACTTGCTGCTAACCGGAATATTTACGCTAGAAATGTGTAAAGGTGACGTTATCTCTTGCACACTTTTTTCCGTTTCCTGCATAGGCGTGTTATTAAAATTTAAGCTTTCAATTGTATTATCATTTGTTGTGTCAGGCAAATATTCAGACAAGCTCTCATTTGTTACAAACGCACACTCTTTAGATATGTTATGTATTTCAACGCTACTATCAATACTATTTGAGACGTTTACTGTATAATTTTGTTTAAAACTGCTTATTTCAGCGCTATTGTAAGAATTTGTTTCAATAAGTAGGCTTGAATTTAACGTATAGTCTGAAACTGGAATACTTTCGTTGGACTTTGCTATTGTACTCCCATTTGTAGAATCAGCAAAACATTCATTTAAGCTTTCGGAGAAGTTATTTATTTCGGTACTATTATGAGCTATGTCAAATTCTATATATGTATTTGAGGGGTTTGGTGTTATATTTTCATTAGAGGCATTAGATAATTTAGTCCTGTTGTGTCCTGTTGTTTTAAAACCTTCGTTATTCGAAACAGATATAGACGATTTTTTACGACTGATTTTATATTGGAGCTTTGGAGATTTTTCAGTAGGTGTAATTGATGATCGTGACTTTTTACGATTTAAAGTTTTAGAAATTCTTTTAATTTTCTTTTATTTGTTTCGGAAATTAAAGGAAACGGTTCAGAACGTACATCATAACTTGGTTTTGTTTCATGTAGTATAATTGGAGATTTATTAAATGATTTCGATGTAATTGCTGGCAGTTTTTTTTAAACGAACTATTGGTTGATCTGAAACTATAATACTTTGGTTGCAATTAACATTTGTTCTCCCATTTGTTAAATCTGGTGTTATATTTTCATCAGAGGCATTAGGTAAATTGGCGCTGTTGTGGGAATCTGTTTGAAAACATGAACCTTCAATAAATGTGATATCTGAAGATATATTTTCAACTTTGTTGACTGGAATTTTCTTTTGAATTGTATCGGAAACCTTATTTATAGATTCGTTACTCGATATAGAAGATTTTTCAGTAGGTGTAATTGACGATCGTGACTTATATGATGAAGTATATTTCCTATTTAGAGTTTTAGAAATTCTCTTTGTTTTCTTTTTACTTGTTTTAGAAATTGAAGATACCGGTTTAGAACTTACATCATAACTATGTTTGGTTTCATGTGGTACAATTGAAGATTTATAAAACGAATTTGATGAAATTGCAGGTAACTTTTTTAAATGAACTATTGGAAGATCTGTGTATAAAATAGATTTAAAAATAATAGACAAATATATGTATATCATGATGAAATGATTCTCTTTGTTCTTATAAAACATTAGAAGCCATATTCACAATCCATAAATATTTTCTATGTAAAAAAATACATATTAATTTTATGAGGTTTGTGTAAAATCCATGTAAAAAAAATATATTAATATAATCTGTATGAGATATGAAAATCAACATCTTTTGTTTTTTCCATGCGTTTATTTAAATTTTCTATAATATTGAACCAAGAAACGCAAAATTAAACACGTTCATTCAACTGTTACTTTTACGATTTTCTGAATTATATAACCTAGAAATGTGATTTTTATTAGTCGGCAACTAATTCTTTGTATAAATACGAAGTTTAAAGTTTTCCAAAATCTCCAAATTCATTAATTACAGTTTCGATTTTCGTGGTTCAAAATTCATAGTTTTAAGGATTTTTTTGATATCGTATATTTTCTAACCTATTTAGCTGGTTTTAATAATCTATATATATAAAAGAGTAGCGTTACTGACTGACTGATTCATCATCGCACAGCCCAAACGACTAAACCTAGAATCATGAAATTTTGACCATAGATGTCTTTTTGGATATGTAGATCCACTAAGGAGGGATTTTTGGATATTTTATATTTGGGGGTAAAAAAGGGGAAAAACGGGTAAAACTGGTTTTCGAGAAAAATTTTAAATGTATCTGTATCTACTCTTAAAAAGAGCAGATGGGTGTCTGGTACTTTTTCGAAATTGGTACTTTTAAGGGGTGAAAATGTGTAACAAAGGTAATTTTGGTACATTTTTTGGCCCTTTATAACTTTTTAACAAATAAACATAATTAAATTTTTGTAAATATTTTGGATACATCTTTCAAAATTAGGAGACACCTGTTTCGTACTTTTTTAAAATTCAGTCCTTTTTGGGTGTAAAAGGGAGAAAACTGTATTTTGGTACTTTTTTCTAGCACATTAAAACTTTTTCGATTTATTGTTAGTTATTGATTTATTAATGTAATTATGAACTATCACTGCAATATATTTAAAAAATACTTTTGCTATTTCACTGAGGAGAAAAAAGTACCAAAAAGGGGAAAAATGGAAAGTATAGATTTATTCAAACTAATTGGCAAATTGGACACTTTTATAAAATTTGAAAAAATTTTAATTTACTCACAATAAATAACCTATTGGTGTACTACTTTGGAATTCTGGTATTAAGACCTATGTAGGGTCCAAATTCGAGTAAATATTTTGGTATTTTTGAAAACATAATATTTCTTGAGCGAATTAATGAAAATTTATATCGTTTCGAAATAGGGGAAAATGGTACACTTTTTATTAGTACATAAAGAAAGAAATTATTCGACTATTTCATCGTTCTAATCGTAAGAAAGGGAAATTTTTTCGTTCCTCAAATGGTACTTTTTGCATTATATTTAATATTGAAATAGAAAAACATATAATAATAAAAACTTTGTTTTTATTTTTGTATTTAATTTTGATTGGGTAGCGAAGCACCCAGGGTACGCTAGTAGAACATAAAGGGAGCTTCGCTTCCCTAGTCGAAATGAAATTAAAAATTTAGATTATAAAAATAAGTATGTAAAAACAAAAACTGTAAAATAAAGAAACAAAACACCATCAGATATATAATGCACTCTCCTCTCTATTTTCAATAAGCTGTGTTGTTTACTTTTTTGTTTTGTTTCTTGCTTTGTTTGTTTTTTACTTCAAGCATACGTGTGACTTTTGTTTCTATGTATTAGTAACAACTTTAAACGCTTATAACTCCCAAAAAATCTGAACCGATCTTATTAATATATATATTGTGCACATCTGCGAACAAATACCTTTAAATTTATATATTTTTTGCCAAGATCGGATATATACTATAAGAGTAAAAGGGGTCACAAAAATCGCCTTGCCTATTAATTATATAGATTAGTCTCTAATTAATACATATGTGTTAGTTTGACAATAATTTGTTAAAAATATAGTTTTAACATAAGGATAATTATATCAAAAAGTCCTTTAGTCAAGAAATAAATGAAAATTGCCAAATTTCAATTTTGCAATTTTATCAATAACCGAATTTTATATCAATAACCGATTAAGAAAAACTTATTATTTAACAGTAAAATTACTGTATACTTATTGAAATATTAATTCAATATTTTTATAATAAATTTTCTTTCTGTATTAATTCCTTAATTACTTTTCTATAATGAAGAATATTTATTGGATGATTTTTATAACAATACTTTAGAAACGTTGTAATAAGTTATTCTGATTTACCTACTTCTAGAATGGGTTCATGCAGAAACATTACTGAAAAGAAATCTTGAAAATATTGACATCGCCTTTACTTCTACATCCAGTTTTGGGGAACAGTGTTATGTTTCTAAAGTATTTCTAATAAGTTCTTCAGCTACATAGTTATACACTAGTTCATTGGAACGTATGAATTCTGGAACTAGTTAATAAATCTCAAAAACATAAATTAAATTAAATTAACTTAATTTCTTTATATTTCACATGAAAATAAAAAATTTGTAATATTTGAGAAAAAACTTAATTAACAAACTTTAATAGAACTGAATATAAAGAAGTGGAAAATTATAATTTTGTTTGTTATAGGAAGAAAAATATTGTAGAAAAGAAATAATATTATTAAAAAAACATTCACTTTCCTTTTATTCGATTAACCGAATAATTTTGAATTATCCGATTATTAACCGGCCAATTTAAAATCTGAAATAATTATTTGTCGAATAAACCGAATAAGACAAAAACCGTAATAATTGAATGCTCTAATATATACCATGTCAAATCTAATACTTATTGAAAAAATCTTAAAAAATATGAATTTTTAACCTCGACTAAATCCAAACCGTAACGAATTTGGATATTTTGGAGAACTAAAAATTTCGTATGCATGTGAAAAATGTATGTACCGAATTTCGTCGAAATAGGAGATGTACAAGTTTAAAATCATAATTTTAGTTTCTAAATTTTATGAAATTGCCTTATATTAATGAGAATCATTTCATTGTAATATAACATAATGTATGCATGTATGTATTTACCATTTTCTGCAGCCGATCTGTCTTTTTGTATTTTATTAATTTTAGGTAAATATGTTTGTACTTTAATCGGAGAATTACTAGAAATTAGAGTTGACTTATTTGTTTTTTCATCCACATTTTTAGTTGATACTGTGATTTTCGCAGAAGACAATTTTGTGGTAAATTTTGAAATTGACGACGGAGATGGATTTAATGTCTTATTTTTAAAAGAGGTAACAATAGAAGAAGCAACAGATGTAGTAATAGAATGTGAGTCGAACTTTTGTTCTTTAATTTTATTTTCCATTTTTTGTTCCATATTTTTGTTAACGACTTTTTTTAAAAAGGACGATGAAATGTTTCGATGTTTAAATATATATAAGGATAATTTCTATAAACTATGAATTTTTTCACCTTATAAGAGTAGTTACTTTTTTCAATTAAGTTAAGTATAAAGTCTTATCGGCTAAAAAATTAAACATTAACTTAATTATAGAAATATATAATTATAAATATACATATATAAGTTTCACTTACTGCGTGTTGACATGACCAAAGCAAAGTATTTCCCAAATTTAGTCATCTCACAATTAGCTTAGGCCTAAAAATCTGGACAACGAAAACAGGTTACATTCCCAAAAGCGTTTTATTATTGTTGTTTCTGCATTTGTCTAGAAAAAATAATAATAATATCAAAAACCGTAAAGAATATAAACTATAGTCGGACGTGGCCGACCATATGATACCCTACACCAATTGCGAATATTGAATGTGATTAATTTTCAATTATAAAGCATTTATGCTGAATTTTACATAGGTTCTAATTAATGTCTGTTCATGTACGGTTGTATGCTGACTAGGAGGCATGTGGACATTTAAGTCATTTTCTGAAGGGGCCTTTGTATGAGGCCCGATCATTACGAAAATCGACATTGTTATTTATAATTATAGAAAACTTAATTATGCTGATTTTTAGATAAATAGTGGTATATTAGACGTAGTTAAAAGATAAAAGCCCAAATCGGAAGGTCCGGTTGTGTGGCTAGGGCAGAAGTTGAGCCGATCCGTATAAAATTTATGTTTATATAAAACTTATTTGTGCCAAATTTCATCGTGGTACTAGTGTTTATAAGTGAGTTGTGGGCATTCAAGTCATTTTCAGAAGGGGACTTTGTATAGGGGATAGGGTCAAATGAGGCCCGAAAATCGACAGTGTTATTTATAATTATAGAAAACTTAATTATGCTGATTTTTAGATAAATAGTGGTATATTAGACGTAGTTAAAAGATAAAAAGCCCAAATCGGAAGGTCCGGTTGTGTGGCTAGGGCAGAAGTTGAGCCGATCCGTATAAAATTTATGTTTATATAAAACTTATTTGTGCCAAAATTCATCGTGATACTAGTGTTTATAAGTGAGTTGTGGGCATTCAAGTCATTTTCAGAAGGGGACTTTGTATAGGGGATAGGGTCAAATGAGGCCCGAAAATCGACAGTGTTATTTATAATATCAAACTTAATTATACTGATTTTTGGAAATATAGTAGTATATTTGACGTAGTTATGAGCTAAAAGGCCCAAATCGGTTGGGGTCTGGTTGTATGTGAGCTAGAGAAAAATTTGGTCCGATCCTTATAAAATTAATGTCGGGATTTATGTTTATAAAAAACTTTTTTGTTCCAAATTTCATGGTGATACTAGTATTTATAAGTGAATTTTGGACATTCAACTCATTTTCTAAAGGGGGCAGTGTTATTTATGATTATATCAAACTTAGTTGTGCCAATTTTTGGAAAGACAGTATTATATTCATCGTAGTTATGAGCTAAAAGGCCCAAATCGGTAGGTCCGGTTGTATGCGGGCTATGGTAAAAATTGGTCCGATCCTGATAAAATTTATTGTCGGTATTTATGTTTATATAAAACTTATTTGTGGCAAATTTCATCGTGATACTACTGTTTATAAATGAATTGCGGACGTTCAAATCATTTCCTGAAGGGGGCTTTGTATGAGGGCTAGGGTCAAATGATGCCCGATCATGACGACAATTTACAGTGTTCTTTAGGATTACACCAACCTTAGATGTGCCAATTTTTGGGAAGATAGTAGTATATTTGACGTAGTTATAAGCTAAAAGGCCAATATCGGAAGGTCCGGTTATATGGGGGCTTGGGCCGATCCTTATAAAATTTGTTGTCGGAATTAATGTTTATATAACTTATTTGTGCCAAATTTCATCGTGATACTAGTGTTTATAAGTGGGACATTCAAGTCATTTTCTGAGGAGGACTTTGTAGGGGGGCTAGGGTCAAATAATGCCCAATCTTTATGAAAATCGCTATAGTTATTAAGACTTATATAAGACTAAGTTTTGCCAATTTTTATAGAGATAGTAGATCATTTAACATAATAAGGTCAAAAGCCCTATTCGAGGGGTCCGGTAGTATGGGGGTTAGGTGAAATAATGGACCGATTGCAACCATTTTCACTAGCGTTCGTCCTTGGACCAAAAGAAGCGCACGTTCCAAATTTCATCGCACAAGGTTTACATGGACACACAGACAGACAGACGGATATAGCTTAATCGACTCAGGAAGTGATTCTGAGCAGATTGGTATACTTTAATGCCAGTATACCAATATTTTTGGGTGTTACAAACATCAGCACAAACGCATAACTATAGTGGTGTAGGGTATAATAAATGGTTTGCTTCTAGTTCAGCTAAAAGTTTAAATTTCATTGTAATTAAAATTGTTGTACAACTTACCAAAAACTGGACTTCACCCAAACGTTAAAAAACTTAAATACTTCAAAAAGAATTAAACGATAAACAGCACAAGTTCAGCAATTTTATGTTTTTTATATATTGTGTTTATATCCTAATATATTTTTCACAGATTATCACCACTAAATACAATGCACAAATTTGTGGTACAATGATGTTTTAGAAATACCGTTATAATAACCGCTTGGGTATTGCTAAAAAATAATCAGTATTCTTAAGTAATTGGTATTTAAAAATCAAAAGAGGGGTGCCATACTATGTTTTTTCATAATCAATATAAGCAAAAAAAGCTTGTATAAACATAGATGACATGAATATTAAAATATATACATATTTTTTGGTTTATATTTATAATATATTTAACTCTCCATATATAACTCTCCAATCTTGAAAAAAATTTATCACTTATAAAGCGTTCAATTCTATAATTTGTGGTATATGTCTTTTGGGCAACAAATTTTTGGTTTTGGAGTTATAGAATTTTAAAGTTTATACATGTATACGCAATTTTTTCTATATTCATCAACCGATTCTAACAATGTATATATCATCAGAAAGAGCTTTAGAATACCTTTTCAACGATATATAATATGACCTCATTTAATAACTCAATGAAGACCAATCGCACAAAAAGTATTTTTTATATAAAATTTTGTGATAAAAGTGCCGTTTTTCACAAATCCATCGAAATAACGGTACCGATAAATATAAAACAAATTGTAGAAAAGATTTCAAGCATTCTTTTGATGTATAGATATACACGTATATCTTAATAAATGGGGATGATATTGTTGTTTAAAAGGGTAAAGTATATAAAATTAATGTTTTTTTATTCGATATTAGTTAATTGTTGTTGTTTTTTTTAGAGGAACAAAGTTCATACCAGACTATAAATTATTGAAAAGTACATCGAAATACCTTTCCAACGATGTATAATATTAAGGATTAAAATCTTATATTATGTCTCAAAACAATAACATTCTACAAAAAAGTGAAAAATCGCGCGAAATTTTTAAAATAATTTTTTACACACAATACTCATAGAAGTCATACACTATTTACTTATTTTCCTAATTGCAAAAAGTCGACTTTTCATAAAATGCAGAGTCGACTTTCATAATTTGCAAAATTAAAAGTTATTAATTTTGCATAAATAATACCATAATACTTACAGAAATCATACCGAATAAAACACTCCATTTACTTATTTTTCTAATTTTTTCTCTTTAAAATTTTGTTAATTTTTTAAATGCATTTTGTGGTAACAACACCGTAGTGTTTTACTAAATCATATGTATAGACTTATTCTGATACTACAACACATGAAAACAATGATGTCCCTGATTGTAATCGGGGAAATGAAATTACCCCATGTCTATATTAGACAATTATTTATCACGGCACTTGACAAAACGTCGGCAGAAAAATTGTCAATTTTTTTTTTTATGTTAATGAATAGGGGTAACAAAATGCTGATATTATCACGACAACTCACAGATAATTTTGCTGAAATAATGCTATATTTTATTAAAACAAATAAAATTAAATGCAAATTTTGTAAATAAACACTAATTTCACTAAAACTTATGTTAAAAATCAAATTTAATTGCACAAAAACAAAATTCTAAACAAATTTTACAATAAAATGACGTTTGTTATCAAGACAACGTTGTCTAAACAATTGTTTAGACAACACTGTCATAACGACGTTATAACGCTAATAAATACCGTCTGTACCTGCTAATTTTTTATCATGATAACAATTTGACGTTTAGCATAATAAATATTTGTCTTACATAGACACGGGGTTAGGCATATCTATATATATAAAATTGAATGCGACGTGCCACGCCCACTTTCAAAATAAGTATTAAAAGTCGCATATCTCAGAAACTGTATGGACAACTTTGACATCCATAAGAATATTTTTGGAAAAAATGGGCGGAATGGCTATAGTGGGCGTGGCACCTTCTATATGAAAACACTCTATACTTATTATTCTAATTTTTTCGCTTTAAAATTTTGTTAATTTTTTAAATGCATTTTGTGGTAACAACACTGTAGTGTTTTACTAAATCATGATTATATATATAGATTTATTGTGATATTACAACACATGAAAACAATGATGTCCCCGATTGTAATCGGGGAAATGAAATTAGGCATATGGAATATAAACAAGCAATTCTAATACATATCAGATATTTTGAACATAAAAAAGAAAAAATTCGGAAACTCAACAATTTTTAAATTGCAAAAAGTCGACTTTTCATAAAATGCAGAGTCGACTTTCATAATTTGCAAAATTAAAAGTTATTAATTTTGCATAAATAATACCATAATACTTACAGAAATCATACCGAATAAAACACTCCATTTACTTATTTTTCTAATTTTTGATACATATCTGATACATATCAGATATTTTGAACATAAAAAAGAAAAAAGATATTTAAAAAAATTCGGAAATTCAACAATTTTAAAATTGCGAAAAGTCGACTTTTCATAAAATGCAGAGTCGACTTTCATAATATGCAAAATTAAAAGTCATTAATTTTGCATAAATAATACTCATAGAAATCATACCGAATAAAACACTCTATTTACTTATTATTCAAATGTTTTCTCTTTAAAATTTTGTTAATTTTTTAAATGAATTTTGTAGTAACAACACTAGTGTTTTACTAAATCACGATTATAGGTCTGTTCGCGTACTCAATAATTTGTAACAATTTGTAACAATTTGCAACTATTGTTACTGGATTCCGTTCGCGTACTTTTGAAAACTTGCAACGAGAGAGTAAGAGAGCGATAAAAATGACAGTTCGATGATAGAGAATTTTTTTATTTTACTGGATATTTTTTACTGGGGAAAAAATATCCAGTAAAATATGTTCACAACATATGGTTGAAATATGAATACGTAAACAAACCAAAGAAAACAAAAATTTGGTAAATTTTACATTTTTTGAAAGAAATATAAAAATTAATAACACACGAATATTAAAAAATTATTTGTAATTAGATTTATTCTAATTTTATTTATCATAAATTAGTTTTTAAAAGAGTTTGTTTGTTGTGAAAAATCATAACAAATATTGTCAATCTAGCGTTTTTAAAACCACTTAGTTTGTTTTTCTCTTAGCGATTTTATGTAAATTTTTATTTTACTAATATGTTTGTAACATGAAGTTTTAAAACAATAATATATTTGTAATGATATTACATGTTTTGTTAACTTTAAATATCCATTTATTTATAAGAAAAATCATAATTTCAATTGTTTGTTTTTTGGTGTTTTGTTAGCGATTGAGATTTCAGCAAAAGGGCATTACTAATCTTTGTTTATAAACAAAACTTGCAATTTTTTTTTACAAATTTGCGTTCGCGTACTTTTTTGGATATTTTTTTGATTGAGAGTAAATTAAAAATTACTCTCTATCATAAAGTTACTGGATATTTTTTACTGGAAAGTACGCGAACAGATCTTATATGTATAGACTTATTCTGATATTACAACACATGAAAACAATGATGTCCCCGATCGTAATCGGGGAAATGAAATTAGGCATATAGAATATAAACTAGCAATTCTGATACATATCAGATATTTTGAACATAAAAAAGAAAAAAGATATTTAAAAAAATTCGAAAATTCAACAATTTTAAAATTGCAAAAAGTCGACTTTTCATAAAATGCAGAGTCGACTTTCATAATATGCAAAATTAAAAGTCATTAATTTTGCATAACTAATACTCATAGAAATCATACCGAATAAAACACTCTATTTACTTATTATTCAAATGTTTTCTCTTTAAAATTTTGTTAATTTTTTAAATGAATTTTGTAGTAACAACACTAGTGTTTTACTAAATCACGATTATATGTATAGACTTATTCTGATATTACAACACATGAAAACAATGATGTCCCCTATCGTAATCGGGGAAATGAAATTAGGCATATAGAATATAAACTAGCAATTCTGATACATATCAGATATTTTGAACATAAAAAAGAAAAAAGATATTTTAAAAAATTCGGAAATTCAACAATTTTAAAATTGCAAAAAGTCGACTTTTCATAAAATGCAGAGTCGACTTTCATAATTTGCAAAATTAAAAGTCATTAATTTTGCATAAATAATACTCATAGAAATCATACCGAATAAAACACTCTATTTACTTATTATTCAAATGTTTTCTCTTTAAAATTTTGTTAATTTTTTAAATGAATTTTGTAGTAACAACACTGTAGTGTTTTACTAAATCACGATTATATGTATAGACTTATTCTGATATTACAACACATGAAAACAATGATGTCCCCGATCGTAATCGGGGAAATGAAATTAGGCATATAGAATATAAACTAGCAATTCTGATACATATCAGATATTTTGAACATAAAAAAGAAAAAAGATATTTTAAAAAATTTGGAAATTCAACAATTTTAAAATTGCAAAAAGTCGACTTTTCATAAAATGCAGAGTCGACTTTCATAATTTGCAAAATTAAAAGTTATTAATTTTGCATAAATAATACTCATAGAAATCATAACGAATAAAGCACTCCATTTACTTATTTTTCTAATTTTTTCTCTTTAAAATTTTGTTAATTTTTTAAATGCATTTCATGGTAACAACACTGTAGTGTTTTACTAAATCATGATTATATGTATAGACTTATTCTGATATTACAACACATGAAAACAATGATGTCCCCGATTGTAATCGGGATTATATTTTAAGTAAATTATATTTGACACGTTCCAAAATCGGTCATTAATTACTCATTGCCCCATATATATACATGTATGTATATTTCCCTGGAATGTATGTATATTCACACATTAACATGACTAAAAAAATTTTCTAAAATTTAGCCCCCAAATAAGTTTGAGTTTTAGAAGATGTCTAACTTGCATATTTATTTAAATACATTAGTACTGAGATGACATCTATAACAAAATACTTCTGAAATATTTGAGTAGCGTTAACATTTTATAACTAACGAAATCGCTGAAATACAATTATGTTTTAATTATATTACTCATAAAAGTTCTTACATATGCTTTCCATTTGACCAAATATTCCATAGCCTACCATCTTTTGCGAAGTCCTTAGTTGACACACAGTTATAATGTTTGATATATGAACAATGACTTAAATCTTTATTTATTAAAATAATCACTTTAGACTTTTTTTGAGAAGGAATGCGTATAATTTTTTCCGATATCTGTTTTTGCATATAAAACGGTAGCCCTAAAAGTCAAAAATCTTTTAATTTCGGAATTGTGGGAAATTTTTGCAAATAAATCGG